GCCCGGTCCTGTTCAACATCTTTATTAATGACTTAGATGAAGGGCTAGAAGGCAGGATCATCAAGTTTGCAGACGAAACTAAATAGGAGGGATAGCCAATACTCCAGAGGACAGGAGCAGGATTCAAAACGATCTTGACAGATTAGAGAGATGATGGCCCAAAACTAACAAAATGAAGTTCAACAGGGACAATGCAAGATACTCCACTTTGGCAGGAAAAACAAAATGCAAAGATACAAAATGGGGGACGATGCTTGGCTCAAGAGCAGTACGTGTGAAAAAGATCTTGGAGTCCTCGTGGACAACAAGTTAAACATGAGCCAACAATGTGATGTGGCGGCAAAAAAAGCCAATGGGATTTTGGCCTGCATCAATAGGAGCATAGTGTCAAGATCTAGGGAAGTAATGCTACCCCTCTATTCTGCTTTGGTTAGACCACACTGGAATATTGTGTCCAATTCTGGGCACCACAATTCAAGAGAGATATTGACAAGCTGGAATGTGTCCAGAGGAGAGCGACTAAAATGATAAAAGGTCTGGAGAACAAGCCCTATGAGGAGCGGCTTGAGGAGCTGGGCATGTTTAGCCTGAAGAAGAGAAGGCTGAGAGGGGATATGTCAGCCATGTATAAATATGTGAGAGGAAGCCACAGGGAGGAGGGAGCAAGCTTGTTTTCTGCTTCCCTGGAGATGCAGGAACAATGGCTTCAAACTACAAGAGAGGAGATTCCATCTGAACATGAGGAAGAACTTCCTGACTGTGAGAGCCGTTCAGCAGTGGAACTCTCTGCCCCGGAGTGTGGTGGAGGCTCCTTCTTTGGAAGCTTTTAAACAGAGGCTGGATGGCCATCTGTCAGGGGTGTTTGAATGCAATATTCCTGCTTCTTGGTAGGATGGCCCATGAGGTCTCTTCCAACTCTTTGATTCTATGATTCTATGATCAGTGGAGTCTCTTCCATTTGTCCCTGTTGAACTTCATAGTGTTAGTTTTGGCCCATCATCTCTCACCTGGAGTTTTTAATTCTGCTCCTGTCTTCTGGAGTATTGGCTCTCCATCCGCATTTGGTCCATCTGCAAACTTGATGATCCTGCCTTCTAACCATTCACCTAAGTCAGTGATGGGCAACCTTTTGAGCGTGGTGTGTCAAAATTCGCCAGAAAACTGAGCATAATTCAGGTGGTGTGTCACTTCAAGAAAAAAAAACATAATTTTGCAATATTTAGTTTAAATAACAAAAAATATATAATTGTAATTCCCACTTTCTCTCTTATCATGTTGTTCTACCTCTCTTTATGTAAATAATATCCTTTTTGGAGTGTTTAATAAAAATATAATTTTTAAAACTCATCAAAATATTATTTATTTTTAATTTAATTTCAATGTATTTCTAGCATTTAATATGCTATTTAATGCATTAATGCATTTCTAATAATAATAATGCAATAACAATAAAGTAACATTGCAAAATAATACCATTTCATTTAAGGCATATATATTAGGCTTGGGCAATCCATGGTTCTAAATGGTTCTAAAGTACTTACAAAACTAAAATTCTGGTGGTGAAAATTTAAGAACTATAACAAACTCTTGCTCTCCTAACCATGTGTGTGTTGTCAAAATTTAAGTATTGATTATTATTGATTTTACGACAGCACCAATTAGGAACCTCGCCCCTATTGTCGCTCCATCAGAGAGTACTGACGAGACTTTGAGACGCTCGCCGGTAGCCAGGTTTTTCGCACACATCCTATTCAGCACTCTCAGCGACAAGCTAGGCGCCCCTTCCGTACGAGGACCGAGTGATGCCTACATGCCACATTCCAACTTCGGCCGTGTGTACCCGAACGTGAGTCTGCCGCCTCACACGACTCTCACACTTGATACCACTGTCTCCCTGCCGTGCGCGTGTCCGTTGTGTGCAACAGCATCAAGGTCTCGCACCCGATCGCGCGGCTGGCGAGTTGCAGTTTGGCTTCAGGCGCGCGGGCGGCTATTTAAAATGCAGCAGTCACAATCACCACGCATTACACACTTCACACCACGTGCCAGAATCACTGTACACGGAGCACCCCCGGTTTACCCCACGCGTCAAATTAAATTTTTACCATTTCATTTAAGGCATTCTGAAATATTTGAGTAATATAGCAAAGTATTATTTATCATTTAATTTAATTTAAATATGTAACTCCTTAATATTTAGGAAACAATGCAAAATAATATTCGTTTCCTTAATAATTAAATAAACCAATATTATTTTGCAATGTTACCTAAATATTAATAATAATTAAATATTTTTAAATTTGACATTTAATTTAATGCATTTTAATATTTGAATAATATAGCAAAGTAATAGTATTTATCATTCAGTTTAAATATGAAACTCCTTAATATTTAGGTAACATTGCAAAATAATAATTTCTTTCCTATTTTTTTAAATGGCATAAAATAAATAAACAAATAATATCCGGCGGGCGCGTGTCAGTAGAAATGGCTACGCGTGTCAGTACTGACACGCGTGTCATAGGTTTGCCATCATGGACCTAAGTCATGAATCAAGATCCTGAATAGGATCGGGCCCAGAACTGCTGATGGCACTCCACTCGCCACTTCTTTCCAGGATGAAGAAGAGGAAGCATTGGGGAGAATCACCCTCTGTGTTCGATCGCTTAACCCAGTGGTTCTCAAACTTCCTAATACAGTGACCCCTTAATACAGGGGTGTTGACCCCCCCCAACCATAACATTAGTTCCATTCCTACTTCATAACTGTAATTTAGCTACTGTTATGAATCGCAATGTAAATATCTGCAATGCAGGATGTATTTTCATTCACTGGACCAAATTTGGCACAAATACCCCATACACCCGAATCTGAATACTAGTGGGGTTTGAGAGGAATTGATTGTGTCATTTGGGAGTTGTAGTTGCTGGGATTTATAGTTCACCTACAATCAGAGAGCATTCTGAACTCCACCAACAATGGAATTGAACCCAACTTGGCAGTCAGAATTCCCACAACCAAGAGAAAATACTGGAAGGGACATTGACCTTGAGTTTTGGAGTTGTAGTTCACCTTCATCCAGACAGCACCGTGGACTCAAATAATGATGAATCTGGACCAAACTTGTCACGGATACTTAATATGCCCAAATGTGAACACTGGTGGAGTTTGAGGAAAATAGACCTTGATATCTGGGAGTTGTAGTTGCTGGGATTTATAGTTCACCTACAATAAAAGAACACTCTGAACTCAGTCCATGATGAATCTGCATCAAACTTGGCACACTACCTACATGGCCAACATTGAATACTGGTGGGGTTGGGGGGATGTTTTTGAATTTTGGAGTTGTAGTTCCCTAACACCAAAAAGGAAAAGAAGGACAGGCGGAGAGATCTTCAGCCTTCTCTGCCAAAGGGTTCCTAAAACCATCAGAAATATGTGTTTTCTGATGGTCTTTGGTGACCCCTCTGAAACCCCCCTCACAACCCCTCCAGGGGTCCCGACTCCTAGGTTGAGAAACACTGGCTCAACCAGTGACAGATCCAGCTCACCATAGTTTTGCTTAGCCCACATTTGACTATCCTGGGAGTTGCAGTTTGCATTCTTTGGTAAGAGAAGGCCCAAGAAGATCTTGTCAAACGACAGCTCAGATGATTGAGCCAAACGGGGATTCTCAGCCTTCTTAATGCCGCGACCCCTTAATACAGTTCCTCATGTTGTGGTGACCCCCAACCATAACATTAGTTCCATTCCTACTTCATAACTGTAATTTAGCTACTGTTATGAATCGCAATGTAAATATCTGATATGCAGGATGTATTTTCATTCTTCACTTGACCAAATTTGGCACAAATGCCCAATACGCCCAAATTTGAATACTGGTGGGGTTGGGGGGGGGGGGGTTGATTTTGTCATTTGGGAGTTGTAGTTGCTGGGATTTATAGTTAACCAACAATCAAAGAGCATTTGGAACTCCAACAATGATGGAATGGAACCAAACTTGGCACACAGAACTCCCATGACCAACAGAAAATACTGGAAAGGTTTGATGGACATTGACCTTGAGTTTGGGAGTTGTAGTTCACCTACATCCAGAGAGCACTGTGGACTTAAACAATGATGGATCTGGACCAAACATGGCACAAATACTCAGTATGCCCAAATGTGAACACTGGTGGAGTTTGGGGGAAATAGACCTTGACATTTGGAAATTACAGTTGCTGGGATTTATAGTTCACCTACAATCAAAGAGCATTATGAACCCCACCAACGATAGAATTGGGCCAAACTTGGCACACAAAACCCCCGCGTCCAACAGAAAATTCTGTGTTTTCTTATGGTCTTTGGCGACCTCTCTGACACCACCTCACAACCCCCTAGGGGTCTTGACCCCCAAGTTGAGAGACACTGGTATAGACGTATCCTCTGGCTTTCCTTTCCTTTCAAGAAGAACCAGAAAGGTTTCTTATAGGAAAAAGACATTGCTGGGGTTGTTTTCTGCAGCTTAACTGCAGCAACCTTGACTGAGTTGGGCTTCCCGTTTGCTTACTCAAGAGGGCTGTGCATTCATTTCCATCATCAGCTTTGTATTTTGATCCTTGTTTGGCTCCTCTCTTGAGTTTGCAAAGCCACTCTCACAAGTTATATTTGTTTATTTTTTTCATGTGATTTGGAATGCTTTCTTGGGGAGAAAACGCTTATTACTACCACTCAGGGCCGAGCTTCAAAATATAAGTTTTTCTTGGAAACTTGGGAACATACCCAAACCTGGTGAAAGTGGCATTTTGGCACAGAGAGTCGAGCCGGGAAAAAGTTGCCAATGGTGCCTTTATGTGCCTTGAAGGGTTGGGCTTTTGACAGATTCAAACAAACAAACAAACCAAAGATCCTTTCTTTTGATTGTGTCACCTCCCCGTGGCTTTCTGATCCAACCAATGACTGAATAAAATGTGGGTGTAGTTAATCCCCGGATCTGTGATCCACCCCATTGGACTGGGCATATAAGGCCAAGGCTTGGGTTTGCAAAGCTCTGAAGCTTCAGACAGATCTGCTCCAAAGGTTTCCAGAAGATCCCGAAATGGCTTCAACAACTTTCCTGACTCTTCCCTCTGGAAGGAAGATGCCCCAACTTGGCATCGGCACCTGGCTGGTAAGACCAAGAGTGGCCTCTCTTTCTCCTCTTTGTCTATTAGGTGCATCTACACTGTCGAGTTAATGCACTTTGGCACCACTTCGACTGCTATAGCTAATGGCGATCTGTGGGAGTTTGGTGAGGAACCAGCACTTTTGGGCAGAGAAGGCTGAAGCTCACAGGACTCCATCACATTGCATGACAGTCCAAAAGTGGTGCCAAACTGCATCAGTTCTGCAGTGTAGATCCAGCTGAGTTCACATTCCTAAATGTCAATCTCTGTTCTCTGTATTTTCCCCTGGTTTTGGGTGCAAAGGGTCACATTCCCAGTGTAAAATACTGCTAGAAATGTGTCTTTAGCTATCTTTTGTAAAAGCAAAGGCACATTGGGCAAAAGGAAAATATGGCCAGTGTTGTTACTGGGAGTAGTTGCCAACTCATGTCCAATTTGTCATGGGGCGTTGCTTCTTTTTTGTGGCCAGAAGGAGTTTTCCGTTGTTTCCTTTGAGGCTGAGAGAGTGTGACTCTAAGACAGTGTTTCTCAACCTAGGGGTCACGATCCTGGGGGGATCACAAGGGAGGTGTCAGAGGGGTCTCCAAAGGCCACCAAAAAACACAGTATTTTATGTTGGCCATGGGGATTCTATGTAAGAAGTTTGGCCCAATTCCATCATTTGTGGGGTTCAGAGTGTTCTTTGATTGTAGGTGAACTATAAATCCCAGCAACTACAACTCCCAAATGACAAAATCAATCAAGGGGAGGGGAGATCGGGTTTGCTTGCCGCATGTGCAGGCGAGGGAGAGTGTGCAAGGCTGGAGGGAGGCTCATGCCAGCAAGACCTTCAAAGCATGGGGTTTCTGTGTGGGRAGCTAGGCCCAATTCTATTGCTGGTGGGGTTCAGAATGCTCTTTGATTGTAGGTGAACTATAAATCCCAGCAGCTACAACACCCAAATGTCAAGGTCTATTTTCCCCAAACTGCACCAGTGTTCACATTTGTACATATTACGTATTTGTGCCAAGTTTGGTCCAGGACCATCATTGTTTAAGTCCAAAGTGCTCTCTGGATGTAGGTGAACTACAACTCCAAAACTCAATGCCAGTGCCCACCAAACCCTTACATTATAGTTAATGTAAGGATCGCATAAATAAACAGGAAATCTTCAAAGCAGGAACATATTTTTTTCCCCAAATTTTGTTTACATGGTGCTATTAATGCACTCCTTCTCATGAATCATTCAGAGGACTTTTGCTTTGCCCTCCTTTGAGGCTGAGAGAGTGTCACTGCCTGAAGCCAACCAATGCTTTTTCCAAAGCCATAGATTTGAACTTTCCTGACTATGATACCGTACTGGATCTTTAGGAACCCAGCAAACCTACTGCGTGAACCTGGGAAAGGCACACTCTTTCAGCCCCAGGAAACACCCTGAAATGTGCACTTTAGGGTCACATTTGATGCAAAACTTAAATCCTTTCTTGGCTTTTCACTCGCCCCAGTTTTTGCAGAGGGATGAGCATGGCGTGTCCGTTTGGGGGGAAGTTAGGGGGTTTTGGAACAAAGTCTCCCCACAAAAATTAGGTTCAGGACTTTGGATAGTTCCGACTAAAACCCAGAGGGGATTCAATGCTCCAAAGAGGTGGCATAAACCATCCATCCAAGGCACTTAAAATCCATCTCCAAAATTAACTACATTAAAGTTTGGACTAAAACCCAATATGGACTTGCCACCCCATGGAGATGAGATCCCCCCTGTATCAACCCCAATAATAGTTTCAGCTCTTTTGATAGTTCCCTTAAAGTTTGGACTAAAACCCAGAGCTAATGCACAATCCATTATCCACCATCCATCCCCAAAATAGGCCCAGCTCTTTGGAAATGTCTTTTAAAGTTCAGACCAAAACCCAGAGCGGATGCACAACTCATGATCTACCATCCATCCCCAAAATAGCTTCAGTTCTTAGGAAATTTCCCTTAAAGTTCAGACCAAAACCCAGAGCAGATGCACAGCTCATCATCTACCATCCATCCCCAAAATAGCTTCAGTTCTTAGGAAATTTCCCTTAAAGTTCAGACCAAAACCCAGAGCAGATGCAGCACCCTACAATCCAAAATAGGTCCAGCTCTTTTTACAATACCTTGAAAGTTCGGACTAAAACCCAGCATGGATGCACAACCTGCGCTCCACCATCCATCCCTAAAATAGCTTCAGCCCTTTTGATAGTTCGCTTAAAGTTTGGGCCAAAACCCAGAGTGGATACAGCATGCCATGAACCTCCATCTACCCCCCAAATAGCTTCTGCTCTTTGGATAGTTTCCTTAAAGTTCGGACTAAAACCCAGAGTGGATGCAGCACGTCATGATCTCCCATCTACCCCCAAAATAGGTTCAGCTCTTTGGAGAGTTCCCTGAGAAGTTCAGTCCAAAACCCAGAGCGGACCCACCAGTTGCGCTTGGCCTTCAAACTTATTTCCAAAACTGCAGGATCTGCATCAAATCCTCTTTTTCCTCCATCCAGAAAATCAATTTCCTTTGTTGACCCAAAAAAGCCAAAACGGTTGAAGTAAACCATTCCTTGAGGCCAAAGAGAGAGAATGACGCCAGTCTCATCCTGGCTTTGCAAACAGGCTAACCCAAAACAGATCTCCTCCTTATTCAATTTCCTACCTGATTTACCATGCAAAATTGGACTTCTCATGCTCAACAAACAAAGGAACCAGAGTGCCTTTTAGGAGTGATGGGATTTATAGTTTGGTGCGGCACTGGCTCTTTGGTAAAACCTTGCAAGACTACAGATCCCATGATTCCATAACATTGAGCCGTGGCAGTTCAAATGAGGACAAACTGTATTAATTCTGCAATGTAGAATTATTATTATTATTATTATTATTATTATTATTATTATTATTATTACCATTTCTATCCTGCCTTTCTCCCCATAGGAACCCAAAGTGGCTAACAATAACATTATTGTTGTTGTTGTTGTTGTTCTTACTGTTGTTATTATTATTATTTCCATTTCTATCCTGCTTTTCTCCCTATAGCAGTGTTTCTCAACCTTCCTAATGCCGCAACCCCCTCATACAACCCCTAATGCCGCAACCCCCTCCTGTTGTGGTGACCCCCAACTATAACTTTCGTTGCTACTTTCCAACTGTAATTTTGCTACTGTTATGAATCGTAATGTAAATACCTGATATGCAAGACATATTTTCATTCACCTGATATGCCCAAATCTGAATACTGGTGTAGTTGGCGGACGTTGATTTTGTCATTTGGGAGTTGTAGTTGCTGGGATTTATAGTTCACCTACAATCAAAGAGCATTCTGAACTCCACCAATGATGGAATTGAACCAAACTTAGCACACAGAACTCCCATGACCAACAGAAAATCTTGCGTTTAATGGACATTGACCTTGAGTTTGGGAGTTGTAGTTCACCTACATCCAGAGAGCACTGTGGACTCAAACAATGATGGATCTGGACTTAACTTGGCATGAATACTCAATATGCCCAAATGTGAACAGTGATGGAGTTTGGAGAAAATTGACCTTGACATTTGGGAGTTGTAGTTGTTGGGATTTATAGTTCACCTGCAATCAAAGAGCATTCTGAACCCTACTAACAATAGAATTGGGCCAAACTTCCCGAACAGAACCGCCATGAACCCCCATGTCTTGAAGTGACTACCATAGTTGTTGTGAGCCTTCCTCCAGCCTTGCACGCTCTCCCTCACCCGCACATGCGCACCACACTGCACGCCTGCTCTCCCCTCCCTGCTTAGAGTCTCAGAAACAGCCCTCCACTTGGCTGAGAGACCTGCTTCCTCTCTGTTGTTGTGCCATGAAACCATGAAAATGAACAAAATCTGGTTACCAGTATTTAAAAACTCTAAAATTGCAACAGCACAACAACAGAGAGGAAGCAGGCAGGGACATCTAATTACCTCTCAACAAAAGTTTGCTCCAGGCACAGTCAACCCATTGTATGCTAATCAAGGTGGTCAGTTGAAACATTCACACCTAGCTCCAGCAGAGTCCTTTGTCTTACCCTGGTCATTCCACAGATATATAAACCCCTTTTCCTAGTTCCAACAGACCTCACTACCTCTGAGGATGCTTGCCATAGATGCAGGCGAAACGTCAGGAGATAATGCCTCTAGACCATGGCCATACAGCCCAAAAAAACCTACAACAACCCAGTGATTCCGGCCATGAAAGCCTTCGACAATACAATTATATTATTATTATGATTATTGTTATTGTTAAAATAACAGATCTCTTGGTCTGCAGCAATTGTTTGCAATGCTCCATGTCTATCCTAATGTCACATGTTTGTGAGAAAATGGCCCTTGGTTTGCTCTCCTTGCTTCCAAAATGACGGCCGTCGGCTGGGCTCCATCCTCAAATTCCAATCCGTTGCACTTGATTGACTATATTCTAAACAAGCCAAGCCCAGAACAAGCTGAAAACCAGTACAGATGTTGAAAGTTTGGCAAGAATCCTGCCGTTTTCGTGATGCATTTAATCAAGCAAAGATGCATCGGGGACACATTGTTTTCGAATCAGGTGAAGCAAGAATTCAATGGTTTGAAAGCCTTTGGCGTCAGAAAATGACAAAGAGGAGGAAAAGCAACCTTAATTTTAGGAAAACCCATTGATACCTTAATATGAAAGGGATGCAATCTCTTAACCTATATATTGCAATTTTTTTGCAGGGTTTTTATTTATTTATTTATCATGTCAGAAGCAAATTGAGAACACAGCTATAATGTATAGAAAAATGACAAACAAGCTTGGCATTATATTAAATGTCCTTTGACCAGAAGCTGGCCACTTGAAATGCCTCTGGTGTCGCTGTGAGAAGGTCCTCCATTGTGCATGTGGCAAGACTCAGGCAGCCTTATAGTCGGTGGTCTGTGATTTGCTCTTCTCCACACTCGCCTGTCGTGGACTCCACTTTGTGGCCCCATTTCTCAAGATTGGCTCTACATCTCATGGTGCCAAAGCGCAGCCTGTT